CTTCTTTCCTTCCTTCCTCCTTCCTCCCTCCCTCCCTCCCTCCTTCCTTCCTTCCTTCCTTCCTTCCATTTCCCCTCTTTCATTCAACAGCTACTCTACTCAAACATGAATCTTTCTTTTTTTTTTAAAGATGATGGTAAGGGGATCTTAACCCTTGACTTGGTGTCAGCACCACGCTCTCCCAAGTGAGCTAACCGGCCATTCCTACATAGGGATCCGAACCCGTGACCTTGGTGTTGTCAGCACCACACTCTCCCGAGTGAACCACGGGCCGGCCCCTAAACATGAATCTTTCAAACTCCTATGACCTGCACAAACATCTCCATCTCCCTCCCTGCCCCCAGATCAATTGTCCCGGGAAAACTGCCACCAAGGGCGTCACTGACGTAGATCATCCAGGACGTGTAGCGGTCCTTGAGGTTGTACAGCACCGCGGGCTCGTTCAGGTGAGTCAGCATGGCCATGTCCTCGATCCTGTCGAACTTGGGGGGGTTCATGGCATACACGTCCTCTGGCTTGACCACCAAAGTCTGAAAAGGGAGAGTCGCGCTGCTTAGCTAATGCTCTCTGTGCCTTTTGCTGCTGCAGATACGCGTCACCCACGAAGAGACTGTCCAGCCGAGATAGCTGACAGCAAGGGAACACAAAGGTATGGGGCGGCTTGTGGTTGGGGTGATGGAATGTGATTTGTTTCTCTACCTGGGGCTCTTTATCCCCTCTGCAGTGGGCCTGGGGTGAGGGAAGGATGACAGAAAAGAGAAAAGAGGATCTCTCTATGAGGATGTGGGGACAGTGGCAGGAAGTGGGAGCCAGCAGGAGCCTCTCAGCTCAGGAATGCTGGCTGGACCAAAATCCAGCCCCAGCAGCTGATGGACTCTTTCCAATCTACTCAGAGGAAAGGACATGTCCACTGGCATCCTGAGGCAGGGACAGAAGGGAAAGGGGGAGGTGGCATTGGATCTCTGGGCTGGCACCCATGGAGTTAGATGACTTTCTGAGCTCCCTGAGAGCAGCTGTCCAGCCCCTTTGCCCTTCTCAAGGACAATTATGAAAGTGCCTCAGCCCCCTCCGTTCCCCTGCTGGGGACAGAGTGTTACAAGCCAGGTAGATGGTACTGTGAGGCAGAGCAGTGGTTTCAAGCACTGGCAAGTGTCTGCACTTCTCTGCAGAGGAAAAGCCCCTTGCCCCCACATCCTCGGGCTTCCGGCTGGAGGACCCTAGGCACGGGGGAGGGGGAGCTTTTCTTCCTCTCCTCTGCCCTGCCCTCACCTCCTTGCTCTCTGTGACCTCCTCTGAGCATGGTCGGTTTTCCTGGTTCCATGTCTGGGCAGTGTGGGCGAGAAGCCTACCTCATTAAGTAGGGATTCATTTAACCCAGTCTGGACAATCAGCTCTCCTTGTGCATGGTCTCTTAGATTGTCTTAAAGTGTCATTCATTATATCTACTTCTCGCCTTCCCTGCTGCCTTATAAGCCCGTTCTTAGCTCCTTTGTCTGAAATATACAGAGAGCCGACTTCCGAGAGCTTCAATGCTTGGTAGCACTGCAGGCAAGTTTTTAGAGCCTTTTTCCTTCTTGCCCAACACAATGACACTATTTCCTTTACCTGTCCCTCAGATTTTCTTTTTTCTCTCTTACTCTCTCCCTCTCTCTCTCTCTCTCTCCCCCCCCCCCCCTGGGTTACACTGCTCATCGCTTCATGATACATGGAGGCTGCTACTTCATGTTGAGCTTGTGGTCCACTAGGGTCCCTTACATGTTTTCCTTACTGCCTTGTAATCAATGGCCATTGCTAGAAGAATTAGGGGGAAACCTAGGCTACCAAAAAAGTGTTCTGAAAGAGCTTCTCCTAGAGTTGGACTCCCAACTCCACACCCTTGGGATTCATGGAGGTGGTCCTCTCTGGGTCAGAGTGATGTGAACATTGAGAAAAGCACATGAAAACTAATTGCTTTGATCAGCCACAACCAGATTCTTCTCCCACTCTGTAACCCGAGGCCAGGATTCATTCTGCTTTCTTCCAGGACACCTGGGAAGGCTAAGCCCATGCCATATGAGGCATTCCAGTGCCAGAACCCCATCTGAAAGTGGCTGGGACTGTGGCGCATGCACATACTGTACAAGACAACCGGGAGCAGCAGACAGAAGGCCCGCTGGCCTGCAGAGGAAGTACACAAGTCTTACCCTGTTGTCTTCAGTTTCCACAGTGACCTTCCCCTCTTGGGAACTCTTAATCTTCCCCTTGGCATATTCTTCCTTTGAGTCAACCACAAAGCAATAGGTTTTGGCATCAAAGGGCTGGTTCTGAGCCTCAATCCTCTCCTTTTCCGATTTTCGGAGGAAAGGAGCGGCTGTGCCGAACACTTCCATTTCAGAGTCGCTACTCATGGTGTCAGCTGGAAGACAAATGCACCTGGTGAGCCCAGCTGCCTCCTGAGCTGGGCACCAGGCAGCTTCAGGCCTGCCTTAGTATCTGCCTTCGAAGGCAGGGCCCCAGGAACAGGGCTGTTTGCATGCCTGGTGGAGCTCCACCCAGAGAATTTAAGTGCTGGGGAAATCAAATGGCACATATTTAGTGAGGGGCTACTCTGCGGAAAGGATGCAGAGCCTATTTGATGCAAGCTCTTCCATGATCTGAGGCTCGAGTGGGTGCAGGGACCTTAGAAGTGAGTGCTGCTCCTGGGACCTCAGTTTCCTCCTCTGTAAAACCCAGGTGTTGCTGAGGGAACATTTAAACATAAACACCACTAAAAAATAAAAGCATTCTTCAAAGAATGGTAAATGGCAAACATGAGGGTACTTCATCGTAAGATTTGTATGATCTTTCAATTCTATTTTTCCACAAAGTTTTTGAAGTACCCACATAGCTAAGGAATTTTTGAACCATTTTGAATCAAGGTGGCCCCATCCTCACATAAGGAAACTAGTCTTTTGTTTCCTTCAGTTGCTAAGATGAGGAGCTAGCATTCGGCATCAGCCTGTGCTTGGAACGTCTTGTCTCCCGAAGTGCTCCCTCCTCCCCTGCCTCTCCAGCCTAACATTTCCTGTCTAAGCTCTCTAGTTCCTCTGGCTCTATGCGCCCTTAATGGCCACTGGCAGGAGGGAGGAACTAGTAACTTTGGATCATCTGGAGATTTCCTACAGCCAAGGGACATGGCCTGAATTCTCACCTGAGTCACACCCGCAGGAGGACAGCAGAAGACAACAGCAGCCTTGGAAACGTCGGACCTGCAATAACACACACATGCACAAAAACTCAGGGACGCCTGGGAGTGTCTGGTTCCACTTTGAGTCAGCTCTTGACAAGTTAACCAATATGGGTAAAGGACGAATAAATAAGAAGATCCTTAGCCTAGTGTCAATCTGGAGGAGCAGGTGGCAGAAGACCCTGAGGGAGTCCATCAAGGCAGGAAAAGTCCTCAGCTACCCCCAAATCTGGCTCCTCCCAGACTTCTACAGCTCCTTCTTCAGTCTGCAATGCCTTCCATTTAGAATTGGGCGACAAGGACAGACACCCTTAGAGAGCTTGTGGTACCAGGCCGGTGTCAGGTCTCCTTGTCTTGTGCAAACAGAAGAAATCTCCGAGATTGGCTAATTTACACCTGGTGCCACAGCCAGTGTGGTCTTGAGAGGATGAGCCGCCCCACAGGCATTACAGCCCAGGTGCAAAGGGAGAACGCAGGGTCCCACCGCCCCACTTCACGGGTCAGAGTGGCAGCAGGAGAACGACAGGCCATGGTGCACAGGCGGATGGGTGCACGGGTGTCCAAAGGGATCTGCTCGAGAGAGCACTTGAACAGGAGGACAAGGAGAGAGGGAGGAAGAAAGAGCCTGCAAGGCCCCGGCTTCAGTGAGGCGCAGGAGGCACAGGGTGGCTGGGCATTTGGGCCCAGGGAGCCTCGCTCTACATCTAACTGATTCTGTGAAAACGCCTCAGAAAGAGAAATGAGATGCCATCTCACCAAAGCCAGGCGGGCCCTTGGCACAGACCCGGTTAGTGGACCCTAAGCAGCAGGGACTGAAAAGAGCCAGACGAGAGGAGCACTGTGACTTACCTCCACCCACGAGAGAGCAAGTTCTGCAGGGGTGGCTGCCCTGGGGCTTTATAGGCCTCCGCTAACCCCCATGGCTCATTCCTTCTCTATATTTGGAAAGAGAATGACAAACATCACAATCTGAGAACCAGCTCCTTCCACACGTATTTTTTGTCATTGCCAAGGGAAAGGTATATATAGAAATGAGCAGGATCCATAACCATTTTTCCAACTCCAGAAAGTTGGAAGTTTGAGATGCCTTTCTCGGAATGTGGGGCCGGCGCCTCTTCGCTGGGCGCGACGGCACAGCTCGCTGCAGAGGGCCTGCTGTGACGTGCTGCGGGAAATCAGTGCAAGCCCCTACCTTGTGGGACCAGGGGACATTCATTTGGGCAATGGCTTAGAAAATGCATCATATGGGAAAATAAATAAAACTGAGGATGAAAAAATTGAAACCCTGTTGGAATTTTGAGCAAGACTTTTGTCACAACCTTGGGTTGTGACAGGGCTCTGTGATGGTAAAACTTGTGCCAGGAATAACAATTATAAATAATAGTGATAATAATTCTTTCTCCTCCCCCCCCCTCTTTTCCTTCTCCTCCCCTTCGTCCTCTTCTGTCTTCCTCTGTACCTTCCTGTCTCATTGGTATCATTATTAACTCAGTCATTTCTTAAGCAGCAGTAGGACCAACAAGTAAATTAGTGAGAGGGAGCTATGTCACCCTCCAGTATCCACAGCAACAGCTGCCTAAGGGCCCGTTGTGATTAAGAGATATCGCCAGTTAGGAAAGACAGCTGCTGGCCTAGATGGGGGATGAGGGGCGTGGTGGTGTCTGCAGAGAAAAGCAGGACAGGGCGGGGGGAGGGGGGTGTCTGACAAATGTGGCTGTTTCTAAATCAGGACTGGAAAAATAAAGCCTCAAGAGAAGAATAAAGGTATATTTGAAGCTTTTGGTCTTTCTCCTTCTGCTTTCTGTTTGATTTTTTCCTGACCAAATCTTTGGGAGGTTGGCTGGGTGGGCATCCTGTGGTTGTGCATTCTAAGTAGAACTGCTTCTGCACAGTTCCCACTTGGGAGTAAGAACTGTCCCTCCCGACACATCGATACCAAGCCCAGATACGAGGCCACTCACAGACGTGTGGCTAGGGGAGGGAAGCAGGGCTGCAGTTTCCATGATGAAGGGACATTTACTGTTCTCTGGCATCTATACAGAGCACTTCAAGAAGACACAAAAGAAATGGGAGCTGCATGCAGCCTTTACCCTTAATAGTTTATGTTATGCATGATGAGTCATACGGACTATGTAGACTCATTTTCATGATTTAGGCAATTTCCGATCAAAGCAGCACATATTTATTAAGCTCCTGTTCTGTGAGTGCCAGGCAAGGTGAGTAGCCGCCCAGAGAATGAGTTGGGAAGGGCTTGCTGACCCGCTCGCCCGCCCCCTAGCCTGCGCTGGGCTGCCCCCTCGCACTGCCCCTCTTCCTCCAGTTTGTACTGAAACGCCCATCCTCGGAGCCCCTCCTCATCCAAAGAGAGAGAGCACCATCACTCCTCAAGTGTCCATCCGTGTCCTGAAGACCAGTGGTCTCCTGGGGCTCTGTCCTGCCTGCCCAGTGACACATCAGCCCATGTCATTGTGCGGTTGACTGGCCATTTCCCTGGGAGACCTGGGCAGGAGATCCATGGGACAGGTACATGCAGAGGTGTTAACAAGCCCAGTGGGGCCAAGGGACAGGGTGAGGGGCATCCATCTCCATCTCCATCCCCATCTCCATGTCCATCTCCATCTCAGGCAGTGCAGTCCATGGGGTGGAGTATGGTGCTTGCAGCTCCATCTTAAGCACCCAGAGTTGGTGGGAGGGACTTCATAGAAATGAAATAGAGATCAATTTTACTTTTTCCATTGTGTAGTCACCAGTTTATCCATCTGTGGGCATAACCACATCCATACCCACCTCCAGGAGACAGAAAAGAAATATTCCATACAAGATTTCTTTGAGTTCCTTAAAAGGGAGTATCCATGTCACACTTTTGGACCTGATACAAGCTCTAAAATGCTGAGGGCCTCCTGCCCCAGCTTCTCTAAGATTACTCATCTTTTCTTCCTTCTCTCCATCAAACTTCATCTTCAGCAAACAAACATAAGTGAACTGAGGAGAAAGATCTGCTGAAAGATCGTAGAGATCATTTGCTTAACAACCTCCTTTTGCATATGGAAAGTGGAAGGTAAGAGAGGTAGGAAACTCCCTAGAGGCAGTGAAAAGAGGACCGAGTTCAGGATGGAAGGCAGCTGTCCAGAAGACATCCTGAGGAGGACAAAAATGGCACCGCCACCACGGTGGCGTAGAAAGCAGTTTAAAAACTAGATATCAGGAATCTAAAAGTCTGCTCATTTGGAAAGTTGTCTTTAGGAGAGGGGAGATCTACACATAACCACAGCAGTGGCAGGTTGCAGCAGCAAGAGCCTGGCTCTGCAGAGTCTGACAGGCCTGGGCTGAACCCAAGCTCAGAGACTGTGATGGCAGGCGCTGCGCTTCTCCAAGCCTCTGGTCCTCTTCTGCAAAATGGGATGACACACCTGCCTCCCAGACTAGTCATGCAGGATATTAAAATATTAGGCATACTGTGCCTTGTGCTGTTTTGGGCACATTGTAGATGTGTGACAAATGTAAGGTTTTTTATATACCTACTGTATTACAGCACAGTATGACTGGTTTTCTTAATGATAACCCCTAGGAGATAGATTATACTGGACTTATGTATGAGTGTAATATTTTTTTTTTAAAGATTTCCATCCAAAGAGAGAAATCTTAAAGAAGAGAACCTCTTGCAGCTCTGAGAGGCAGCTTTCAGGGGCAAATTGGATACTTTCCTGGTGTGGAATTCCTCCTCTGATAAACAGGCGACAGATGACTTATTGGTATATTATTAGCCAACTTTGGGGAACAGGAGGAGCCCTCGTTCTTTCAGCCATCGCACAGCCAGAGCTAATCCCCACAGCCGGGCAGAGAGCTGCATTTACCCCTTGATGAGCTGGGAAAAACATTCATTGTGTCTCAAGAATGCAGGCTGGCTCAGGAGGTCATGAATCCAGGCCGCTGGGCCCCGCTTCGTGACGGCTGGCCACCTCCTCCCGAGCTATTTCCTCCACCGCCGTTTGATGTCGGGTCCCTCAGAGGCATGGACACTGGGACTCCCAGTCTCAGAGCAGCATTCCCAGGACCGCTCTCTGCCAGAGCATGAGGTCAGCCTAGGAGAGCAAATGCCTCCTGGGTCAAGTGCCTTCTCTGCATCCCCCTGTGCAGGGGGATTAGGTGTCATTGGAAATTATTCAGAGCCACGACTGTTCCCTGGCACTGAGGTGGAGGGTGGGGGTCCTCAGCCAATGTCCAGAGCCCCAGGAAGAAATTCAAGGAGAGAGAGGACTTACGCTCCTTTCAGTTCAACTCAACAGTACACACTTCTCTCAACTTTCTATTATGAAAAATTTCAAACATGCGGATAAGTACAAAGTAATAAAGGGACACCCGCAGCTAAATGCAACAACCTTAGCGCTTGGTTCGCTTTCTCCCTCTCTCCTGGTTCTCTTTCTCTTATTTTGCGTCTTATTTTGCCGTAGTCTCTGAGTGGCAAATGTGATGAAACGTCACCCTTAAATACTTCAGTGTGTATCTCCTAAGAGTAAGGATAGTCTCCACAATGCCATTTCCCCACCTCATAAAATTAACAATACTTCTATATTATGCGGTCCATATTCAAATTTCTCCAATTTTTCCAACAATTGTATAGCTGGGTCTCCCCCACCCAATCAGGATCGAATCTCGTTTTAGGCATCACATTTGGCGGTTATGTCTCTTTAGTTTTAGTCTAGGACATGCTCCCATCTATTTTTTATTTTTATTTATTTTTTTAGTAGTATAAATGTCTGTTGAACACTTTTTATGAGCTGGGCACAGAACTGAACACTCCCAGGGAGATACAGAGGTAGATGGCCCTGTCCCTGCCTCCAAGGACGTCTCCATCTCTAGGGGTGAGAGGAAGGTAAAACGTCCCCCCAAATTAACTGTGCAGTACAAGATAAAAAAGATGAGTGGACACAGAGGCACCTGTGTGTCTGGCATTTGAACGAGGGAGAGAGAACTTCCAGCTGGACAGGCGGGCAAGGGCC